CCTTATCTATTAAATTTTGGGTAGAGAATAGTTTTTATCTCACGGAAATAAGAGTTTGAGATAATATAAGATTAAATGAGATACTGTGTGCCTAGCAAATACCAAGTTTTAGTGAGTGGGAATTTTCTCCCACGCCTTTCAGGTGTGTTCATCCTTAGTGTTATCTAAATTGGGTAAACTTGGTGTATGCTTTGAGGTATCAAAAAGTAACTTCACCTTGAACAGCAGCAGGGCGGCTGAGTTTTTATTTTATAAAATTTGACGAATGTCTGAAATTTGAGACATGGTTGATCTTAAGAGAGAGATTAAGACTCAGTCTGATTTTGGTTAGTATAAATGGATTTTACATAATTGTGGATTTTAATTTAACATTTGATACATATATTTTGGTGTGTTGAAATAGTTGGCATACTGTACATTTTAATGTCTACATTATATTTCATTGTATTGATGTTTCATGGTTTGTGGTGTGCAGTCTTGAAATAATTACCTTTAGAGTAGAAATTGAATTTGAATTTTAAAAAGCCTTTTATTATGGGAATTTAAAAATATAGCCAAAAGTACACTATTGTAATGAGTCCTTGTGTATTATCACCCAGCTCTGACAGTCATCAACTCATGTAGCCACTGCTTCAATTTCCTCTTCTTTATTATTTTGAAGCAAATTCCAGACATACTATAAAACAGAGTTATGGTGCATGAAATTTGTCAGCTTGGTTTCCTTACACATATGTAGATATATTCTCATTCATCTCCTTTTTTAAATTGAATTTTTCTCTCTCATTTTGGTTGTAGTCAGCTTTAATTATATCAAGTGTTATTCTGCTTTAAATTTGTAATGTTATGGTGAACTTTATTATTAGACATTTAGTGCTGATACATATTTAAAGCAAAAACTTCCATTGTAACCATATTTGGGAGGCTGGTCTGGTGACAAGTAAGCAACATATTTAATCCTAGCTCCACTAACTTTGTTAGGTGTTTTAAGACTTTTAAATGTATCTTTAAGTGCATAAAAGGAGTAAAAAGATTTATTTTGAGAACCTTTGTTAAATCAGTCAAAAGGTGCCGTGCGATCTCCTTTAGCCGTGGCGTTTAAAGGCTTAGAAATGTGAATCTGGTTAAATCAGAATCTGGTTCTTCCCGAGTCTTTCTTTATAAACAATAAGGTGTTATACTCTGTTGGACACTACTGTTGTTTCTGTGTGTGCGTGTAGGGTGGGGGAGTTGGGACTTTCTGAAGGTAGTTCTCTCCCATATCTGCATTGGCTGGAAAAAGGCCCAACAGGTTAGGGTAGGTTTTACTTTTCTCCTAAAGCACCTTGAGCAGTCATAGGTTGAACATTTTACAGTGTATGCAGATATCTTCCTTCACATTTTATTTCATTTACAGGTTACATTTGATATTATTTTGTATTAGTTTCAGGTGTATAGCATATAGTGGTTAGTCACCATATACTTCACAAAGTGTTCCCCGCCAATATTTCCAGTACCCACCTGGCACCATACACAGTTGTCTCGCTATTTGTATTATTGACTATATTCCGTTATGTGCTTTACCTCCCCCTCACTGTTTTGTAACTACCAATTTGTTCTTAATCCAGTCATTCCTTCACATTTTAATGATCAGATGGCAGATGTAAGATAACTAAGCTAAAATTGAATATTAAAAGCAGTATTCCATTTCTTTATATTTTTAGTGACTAACTTTATATAGTTGACTAAATTAAATTTTTTCTGTACTTAAAATTTTTTTGGTATAATTTATTTCCATATTTACTTGGAATCTTAGCACAATATTTGAGCCAGAAGACTGTTACAAAGCTCGAACTAAATTAAATATAATTGTTGCCATTAAATAGAAGCTAGCAACTTTGCAGTTTTATTGGGAATAATAAATGACTCAACTGTGTGTGAGGTGGTAATTCACAGATATAAGGTACTAATCATACTGCATGTGCCTTGATGACTAGTTAAACACTTTCTGAGCATAAGTATTATGCTGTTATACCAGATTAGAAATTGAATATCCATGGAGTGCAATGGGTAGCTAATTGGATGATCTTAACCAATGAAAATGATAATTTGTGTGACTAATTTTAAAAAAGCAA